CCAGCCGGACCAGGTCGGAGCAGCGTTCCCTGAGCCAAGACGCATCCACGCCCAGGCTCGTCCACTGACAGTATCCGCAATGCGCGCGAGGCAGCGGCGTGCTGGACCCAACCATGCGAACCGCGCGAGGGGTGTACCACAATGACCGTCGTGCGCATGCGGCCTGTCCTACTGGGGCCTGCGGTGGAACCCCCTATGGGGCCACGAACCGTGTGAGGGGTAATTATGCCAAAATGGGCGTCGGGTGCATGCAGCCTTTGCCACTGGGGCCTTCGGTGGAGCTCCCTACGGGGCCACGAACCGTGACGGTGAAGCTCCCCATGGGCCTTCGGTGGAGCTCCCTATGGGGCCAAAACGCCCCCACGGCGGGGGGCATTGCCGCGAGGCATCTGGACGCCATGCTCCACAGGGAGGGGTGGATGCCGAAGCCGTCCGCCAGCGTGGACCACCTCAGCGTCGCGGGGAGCTTGTCCAACCCTCCCTTCATGTCGGGCGACACGTTCCGCAGGTCCTCGACGCACGGACTGGTCGTGATGGCCACTCGAGACGCGGCGCGGCACCGCGCCAGCTTTCGGCTGTGCCATCGCGGCGCGTATCTGTCTGCATTCAGCAATTGGGCTCCGAACACGTCTATCAAGGCCGACTGGAAGGACAAGATCTCCTCTGCAGAACGCAATGCGACAGGGGGGCCCTCAGGCCACTGAGCGCGCACCGCCGCGGCCAACTCGCGGATCCCGGCTGCCGGGTCCGCTGTCAGGTAGTACTTTTTCCGTGTCCCATGTGGCCCCGGCCATGCCTTCGCATCGGGGCTGTCCGCGGAATCCGTGATCACGCGGAGTTGCTTCAGCCACGGCACGGGCCCGGCGACGTAGGCCACGTCGCCGTGTTGCCGCCCAGCCTCGCCCCTCTCTTCGGCCACGGCGCCCTTCAGGCACCGCTCCAGCAGCGCCTCCGCGCCCATGGTTCGAGGCGGGTTTTCTTGCATCCACCTCATCAGAGGAAAGAGCTTCATGCCATTGCGGAGCGCCTCGCACAGGAGCCCATCGGCCCCCTCAGCCAAGGGCCCCCACTCTGGGAGTGGGAAATCGCCCGGAATCAGCAGCGGATACAAGGGCGCCACGGCCCGCACTACCGCCATGTCATCCTCGACTAGCGCCGCGTCTAGCGCCTGCCCCTGCGCGGCCAACTCCTGCTCGGAGTCGGCGGCCGTCGGCGCGGCGGCGGGCATCCCTCCTGGCATCTCCTCATTGGAGGCGGCGGCCGACGGCGCGGCGGCGGGATGCCGAAGGCCGGCGTCCTTCAGCTGCGCACGGGCCTCGGCGCCGTCCGCGTTGACGCGGGCCAGCGCGACGCGCCAGCAGGCCCCGACATCGGACGCCTTGTGCGCGGTCACGGGCGGGCAGTCGAACGACGGCGCGGTCATGCTCGCCAAGATGCCGCCAGCAAGCCTGCATGATTCGCACACTGTCGCCATGCACTGACCTGGGTCCAGGCAGCCGGATACGACCCGCGCGTGGGTGTCGAGGTGCAGGACTTTGTCATGGGCCGAGTGCACGAGAATCGCCGACGTCTTCTGATCCACGCAGATGACGTACCCGATGACAGTTCCCGGCGCGGAGCGCAAGACATCCTGCTGAATCTCCGAGAGCAGGACAGGTAGCGACACATCGCCACGGGCGACGCTACCTGTGGCGATCAAGGGCTCCATGCGCGCCACTCCGAAAAGGCGACGCAAAGGGTCGAAAACACTCCCGACGTCGAGCCGTTCCACGGCGTCCTGGATCTCGTCGGGTCGGCAAAGGGCGCCCTCTCCCTCCAGCTCGATTGCGCGCAACCACTCTCCATACGGATCTCGGCCGTTCTTGCAAACGTTGCACATCTCCTCATCCTGCGCCAAGATCCTGACCGAGAATTCGGCATCCTGGTGGTGCTTTGCCAGAGCAAACAAGGCGCACAGGGTGCACGTAGTGGACAAGGGAGTGCCATCCTTCGGTAACAATGGGAGCTGGTGCTGCGAGGTTGCAAACGGGCGCTCTTGTATCCCATGTGCATCACCATCAGGACCGCCCTGCGAAGCTAATTGGGCCGCGTGGACAGGGAGCTCCTCCAAGTCGTGTGGCGCACCAGAGAGCGCTGCGCCACTGGCCGCGCCTCTGCTCATCGGGTGGCGGAAATGGCTTCCAGGCTGCCAGGCTGACGTGGAGAGTCCGCCCTCTTCCTGATGAGGAGGGGGAGGAGGAGGAGGAGGAGGAGGAGGAAGAGGATCGGGAGGAGGAGGAGGAGGAGGAGGAGGAGGAGGAGAGGCAGAAGGTCGGGAGGAGGAGGAGGTCGGGAGGAGGAGGAGGAGCTCGGGAGGAGCAGGTCGGGAGGAGCAGGTCGCGAGGAGGTCAGGGGGAGGAGGTCGGGAGGAGGAGGTCGGGAGGAGGAGGATCGGGAGGAGGAGGTCGGGAGGAGGAGGATGGGCAGGAGACGGATCGGGAGGAGGAGGTCGGGAGGAGGA